ACCATTTTCAGCCACTTGATGGCAGCAGAGTAGTAATAGCAATATATATACAATATAAATACTAAAATTAACTACTACTTGTACTACTATTCCTACTTCGTGGTGTTTCACTTATCTCGGGGCTTCAGAGTACAGATCCACCGTGATAAACGAGGGACTACTGTAGTTGTCAAAAGCCTAGAGGGCCCTCTCATGGCTGCAAATGGTAATGTTTACTCTTTGGCTCATGTCAGTATGAATGAGTTCACATTTAACGTGTCAGTCAAAAATTGCATCATGAATGGGAAAATAAAAATGTATATAAGTCGCTTCCGTCTATACATCACAGGACTGGTCAAACTATGAAAAAAAAAGAGTGACTTATAGTCCGAAAACTACAGTAGTTATATTTGAATTTAATTGTCTGTGTTGAAATCGTGTTAGCCAAAACCGCTAATCTATTTGTGTTTTTATAGTCTTTGGACAATGTTGTTTAATCAAAGCAGTAATCCACAGTTTGAAATAAAACTTCCAGATGTACCAGCATCTTCTAATCGTTGTATGGAGTTGTTCTGCCTTGTAAGATAATAGAAGTGTTTGGCTTCCCTGATTGCCTTGTGTTCTCTTGTGCTCTCTTTCAGTGTAGCCAGACAGACGAGATAAGTATCGTAAGAGTGTATACGAGTCATTCATTAAGTCAAAATAGGTCTGAAGTTCTTTAGAAAGACACAGACGTTGCATCTCAGGAAATCTGCTTCATCTTTAAAGCCGTTGAGCAGATAACAGCAGACACGGGGGGCAACGTGCTCTTTCCCTGTTTGTGTTGTATGTGAAGTGAGCTCTTGGAGGAGGATCAGTTTATCTTCTTGTTGTTTATGTGCACTGTGACAGAACTTCCTCCTCCTGCAGCAAGAAGAAAACACACGTCAGTGTGTATAATTAAAGTAAAGTTAAATTCTGGTTTCCCCTAAACAAAATAAAACCTTATCACTGATAGCATAAAAGTAGATTATGTTGAGACGTTCATTGTTCAAATTTAAGACAAACACTCAAACTGTTCAGCTGCAACCACAGAGAATGTACAGTAATCTGTTTTATTTTCCGTCTTGAAGAATTGAACATCTTTTAATGGCTTTTCTCTTGAATTTTTCCACCTTGTGGCATCATCAAACAGAATATTAGTCAGCAGCTGTTTTCATATTGTCTGACTTAGAAAAAAATTGGTTTATAGATTAGAAATTTATGCACATGATTGTGTAACTATAGTTGCTTCTGACACGTACAACCACACAAATTATTCATATGAAATATGTGAAAAAGTACTGAACATCTTGTATTGACAGCAGCCCACACAGAGAGTTTAGAAATGGGTCATGGATTGTTTCAGTTTGACCATGTCATGTGAGCAGGCGTCTATCTGGTGGATGCGTTGCCATATTTGTCATTTCAATATTGGAGGATGTTAGCGATATTAAGTCTGGGTTATAGAAAGGTGCGAATGAGTCATAAGTGAAGATCAGTAAGTCATACTGTACTTCAGACACAAATTCTATCAGATGGACCACAAAAACACACATTTATACATAACGATCGGTCAGCTGGAGGACTGTGTGTCATGATACCAGGGAGAAGCGTATAAAGTGGCGCTTGTAAGTTTGGGAACTCTTTATAATTTTCTATATTTCTGTATAAATATGACCTAAAACGTCACCAGATTTTTACGCAAGTCCTAAAAGTAGATAAAGAGAACCCAGTTAAACAGATGAAACAAAAATTTTATACTTGATCAATTATTTATTGAGGAACATGATCCAGTATTACATATTTGTGAGTTGAAAAAGTATGTGAACCTTTGCTTTCAGTATCTGGTGTAACCCCCCCTCCCAAATATCTGCAATTAAATGTTTCTGGTAACACAGCAGCATGAAATAGATCAGCAGCAACATTATCGTCTGGTCTTTCTTGTAAATGAGTCCCCGAGGCTCAGTGGGATTAACCTGTATAAATAAAGGTTGAATGATCAATGTGATTTTTCACAGAGGTTCATGAGTCTAACAGCCTCAGGGTAGAAGCTGTTCCTCAGTCTAGTGGTTCTACACTTAATGCTCCTTAACCTCCTGCCTGAGGGGAGCGGGGCAAAGAGTGTGTGTGCTGGGTGAGTGGGGTCCTTCATGATGCAGGTGGCTCTCTTCCTGCATCTGGAGGTGTAGATGTCTGTGATGGTGGGGAGGCTGACTCCAACAGACTTCTGTGCAGCCTTCACCACTCTCTGCAAACAGCTTCAACTCTGGGATGTTTGTGGTTTCCTCACATTAACTGCTCGCTTCAGATCCTTCCACAACTTTTGGATTGGATTAAGGTCAGGACTTTGACTTGGCCATTCCAAAAACACAAACTTTATTCTTCTTGAACCATTTTTTGGTATAACCACTTGTGTGCTTAGGGTCATTGTGTTGCTGCATGATCCAACTTCTCTTGAGGTTCAGTTCATGGACAAATCAGAATTCATCCATCAATGATGGCAAGCCTTCCTGGCCCAGATGCAGCAAAACAGGCCCAAACAATGATACCTCCATCACCATGTTTCACAGAAGGGATAAGGTTCTTATGTATGAATGTATTGCTGTTCTTTCTCCAAACAGAACACTTTTCATTTAAACCAAAAAGTTCTATTTTGGTCTGACTCTAATTCCACCTTCGTATTCACTGTTAATCCTACAGGTTCACAGTTTTATCAATAAATAAATGACCAAGTAAAATATTTTTGTATCATTTGTTTAAATGGGTCCTCTTTATCTACAGGTCTTTCTCAAAAAATTAGCATATTGTGATAAAGGTCATTATTTTCCATAATGTAATGATAAAAATGAAACTTTCATATATTTTAGATTCATTGCACACCAACTGAAATATTTCAGGTCTTTAATTGTTTTAATACTGATGATTATGGCATACAGCTCATGAAAACCCAAAATGCCTGTCCCAAAAAATTAGCATATTTCATCCCACCAATGAAAGACAAGTGTTTTTAATACAAAAACGCCAACCTTCAAATAATCATGTTCAGTTATGCACTCAATACTTGGTCGGGAATCCTTTTGCATGAATGACTGCTTCAATGCGGCGTGGCATGGAGGCAATCAGCCTGTGGCACTGCTGAGGTGTTATGGAGGCCCAGGATGCTTTGATAGCGGCCTTAAGCTCATCCAGAGTGTTGGGTCTTGTGTCTCTCAACTTTCTCTTCACAATATCCCACAGGTTCTCTATGGGGTTCAGGTCAGGAGAGTTGGCAGGCCAATTGAGCACAGTAATACCATGGTCAGTAAACCATTTACCAGTGGTTTTGGCACTGTGAGCAGGTGCCAGGTCGTGCTGAAAAATGAAATCTTCATCTCCATAAAGCTTTTCAGCAGATGGAAGCATGAAGTGCTCCAAAATCTCCTGATAGCTAGCTGCATTGACCCTGCCCTTGATAAAACACAGTGGACCAACACCAGCAGATGACATGGCACCCCAGTGACTGTGGAAACTTGACACTGGACCTCAAGCAATGTGAATTCTGTGTCTCCTCTCTTCCTCCAGACTCTGGGACCTTGATTTCCAAAGGAAATGCAAAATTTACTGTAATCAGAGAACATAACTTTGGACCACTCAGCAGCAGTCCCAGGCGAGATGCTTCTGACGCAGTCTCTTGTTCAAGAGTGGCTTGACCTGGGGAATGCGGCACCTGTAGCCCATTTCCTGCACACGCCTGTGCACGGTGGCTCTGGATGTTTCTACTCCAGACTCAGTCCACTGCTTCCGCAGATCCCCCAAGGTCTGGAATCGACCCTTCTCCACAATCCTCCTCAGGGTCCGGTCACCTCTTCTTGTTGTGCAGCGTTTTCTGCCACACTTTTCCCTTCCCACAGACTTCCCACTGAGGTGCCTTGATACAGCACTCTGGGAACAGCCTATTCGTTCAGCAATTTCTTTCTGTGTCTTGCCCTCTTGCTTGAGGGTGTCAATGATGGCCTTCTGGACAGCAGTCAGGTCGGCAGTCTTACCCATGATTGCGGTTTTGAGTAATGAACAAGGCTGGGAGTTTTTAAAAGCCTCAGGAATCTTTTGCAGGTGTTTAGAGTTATGTCGTTGATTCAGATGGTTAGGTTAATAGCTTGTTTAGAGAAACTTTTCATAATATGCTAATTTTTTGGGACAGGCATTTTGGGTTTTCATGAGCTGTATGCCATAATCATCAGTATTAAAACAATTAAAGACCTGAAATATTTCAGTTGGTGTGCAATGAATCTGAAATATATGAAACTTTCATTTTTATCATTACATTATGGAAAATAATGACCTTTATCACAATATGCTAATTTTTTAGAAGGACCTGTACTTTTAAGAACTGTGTGAAAATCTTATGATGTTTTAGGTCATATTTATGCAGAAAATTCTAAAAGATTCACAAACGCTCAAGCACCACTGTATATGTAAATATTTTCATTTTTGCAATATCCATTCTTTTGTGTAAAATATGAACTGAACACATTTATTTAACACTGTAAACAAAAGGATGCACCTCCTTTTATTTGACCAGCTTCTCTTCTCAGATATGCATTTTTGTTGATTTTATTATGTGACATTGTTATAGCGGCAAATAAAGTCAGTAGGGTCAAATCTAACAAAGTCCCTACTTCTCCCAAAGTTAGCATAAATTCAAAATGCTGAAATTCAGGACCTCGCTACAAAACCTTGCAAAATGTCCACTGATTTTAGTTCCCTTTTTTGGTTTCTGCTATTGTAAAGTGATTTTTAAAACATGTGAAAACTAAAGTTGAACCAGTCTCAACTCTCAACCATAAATCCTGTTTGATAAATCTTTTGTAATATTTCCCTTGGTGAATCATAGCTGAGTCAACCTAAAGTCTAATGATCCAGTGAAATATTCCACATATCTACAAATATCCATTACACTATGTGCTGCACACACACCTATTGGATCATATTGACAAAAAAGATTTAACTTTCTGTTGCAGGAAGCTCTCCCAACCCCTCTAGCACTCGGGCGAGAAACGCAGTGGGGGCCATGGAGGCAGAAGCATTTGGACGCCAACTCCGGTCAATTGGAGACGAGTACAATAGACTTCTACTCTTAAGGGTCAGTCATTAAAGAAAATATGTGATCAAGCTGTTATACAATCACACATTTGTCCATTTTAACTATTGAAACAATTAATGCTACATACAAACTAATGCACACACACATAAAACTGGCAAAAACATCACTGCTTTGACTCCAATCGTGGGCTGTAAAAGCTCCATCAGTGGAATAGGAAGAGATGTTTCCTCTGCAAAGCCTTCAGCTGGTTTCTAGCAATTGGAAAGACGCAAAGCCCAAACCTATACAAAACGGCTGTTTAAATGTGGTTAAACCCAAGACATCCACTGACTGCTCACATTTTTAAATCACAGCTTGTTTGCTCTGCCTGAGCTGCAGCTGGTAAGCAGCTTATTTCCTGGCTGGCAGACAAAGATACGGAGCAAGTTGTTTGCTGATGTTGAAAGCAAACTCCTCACTACACCCTCATTTAGTGCCATATCACTACGGTGGAGTTTTACCAATCTGTGCTAGCACGATGCATTTTTCTCCGAAATTCAGCTCTCCTTTATTCCCCCTAAACAAACTGTTTTGTGAGTGGTCCAATATAGGACGACTAACACAGCTTCTGTTTCAATGACAGTTCCTTGTTATGATTTCATTACCAGTTTGAGTATAAAACCTCCTAATGGTGCAATTATGAAGTTGTGTTGCTGCAGTAAGATACATTTCCTATTGGCTTCCTGCTTGCTTGGCAACATTTCGGCATGTTGCATCATCACAGTTTTATTTACTATCAAAGGGCGGACTGGATCAGGGAAGAGGGATGAAAGTCTGAGCTTGTTCAAATTCACTTTAATCTCACCAGTAAAGTGGGTTGAAAAATAAAAGGCAAGAAAATGCTCGGCATGGCTTTTATGTCCTTGTGAAGAGCTTCAAAAGCTTCAAAAGACGAACAGGTATGAAGCTTCAAATATGCATATCAGCAGTTTGATGCGTCTGAAATGCGCTTCCCCATTTTTATTTATTGTCAGGGTTACTGACGAGCTGCAAACAGGAAGAGAGTTAACCTTTTTGTCTCCTTGCATTTGCATTTTGTTAAAACAACACATCTTTTAGCCAAAACCCCACCAGAAGCCCTTCGGATCAGATTTTTCAGATAGTCTTTAATGCCAAAAGAACTTTCAAGTTCAAGTTAAGGGCGGTTTATGGTCGTTCTCACCACATGTGGTAGATACAGTGGCTCTAAGGTGTACAGTAAATGAGCAACATTTGAAAAAACAACAAAATCACAACAAAATTTTTGAAAAAAACGGAATTACATTAGAAAAAAAACAGAATTAGATTAAGCCAAAGCGGAAGTGGCCCGAATCACATTAGAAGAAAAAAAAAATATATAGAATTACATTTGAAAAAAAGGAATTACGTTTGAAAAAATGGAATAACGTTTGGGGCAGCACGGTGGTGCAACTGGTAGAGCTGCTGCCTCTCAGCGAGGTTCCCGGCTCAAATCCCAGTCCAGGGGCCTCTCTGGGTGGAGTTTGCATGTTCTCTCCGTGAATGCGTGGGTTTTGTCTGTGTACTCCGATTTCCTCCCACAGACCAAAAACATGCATGTTAGGCTGATTGGTAACTCTAAATTGTCCCTAGGTGTGAGTGAGAGAGTGAATGGTTGTTTGTCTCGTTTGTCTCTGTGTGTCCCTGTGATGGACCTACGACCTGTCCAGAGTGTACCTCGCCCCTCGCACAGTGATCGCTGGACATGGGCACCGGCGATCCCATGACCCAAAAAATGGAATAAGCGGGTAAAAGATAATGAATGGATGGATGGAAGTTTTTTTTTTTTTACTTTATTAACAGCATAAAATCGAACAACAGAACAATATACAGTACACACACAACGGAGATACAGTTAGCAGGCTATCCTTTTAACTGTATCTCCATCGTGTGTACTGTATATTGTTCTGTTGTTCAGTTTTATGCTGTTAATAAAGTAAAAAATAAAAATAAAAACTTCCTGTTGGGCTTAATGTAATTCTGAATTTTCAAATGTCATTCCGTTTTTTTTCAAATGTAATTCCATTTTTCAACTGTTGTTGTGATTTTGTTGTTTTTCTTGTGTTTTTTTCAAATGTAATTTTGTTTTTTCAAATGTTGTTCGTTTACACCTTAAGGCCACCGTAGGTACAGGAGGTGGGATGAAATTATGTACATGGGTCCCAGTTGCACCCAACAATAGCAAAACTTTGAAGCCAATTCAGAATCATTGTGACCATTTCCTTATGTTAATAACATTTAAGGCCCATATTCTTAGTTTATAAAACACCAGCCAGTGTTTCCCCTAACTTGCCATGGCGGGGGCGCTCATCTCGGCCGTGATTTTTGTCCGGGGTGGGGGCGGTTACGGATGGAGATACGTCCTAAGCTGCGCAGCGCACTGTTTAAACCAACAGTTTTAGAGCAGGGTGTGTGAGAGGAGAGACAAGGACACATCTCAGCCACGCGCTGTCTGAACCAACCTTTTTTTGGAGGGGGGGTGGGGGATTCGAAGAGACAGACACACATCTGAGCCGTGCGCTGTTGTACCGACAGTTTTCGAGTGGTGGGGGTGCGTTCAGCGCGAGGGTTCAGCAGGCTGCCTTTAGCTTTTTAGCTAGCACACCTGCATTGCGAGCCGCTAGTTTAGCGTTACGTCAGTGCCAACAGGTGGGTGGGGTTCGGTAAACGGGGCGCTCAGTTCTGTTGACAGGGCGGGGCGCCCCGCTTGTATAATGGCAGCGGAAACACTGCCAGCATTCATAAATATTGTGTTTCTCAATGCCAGCTTTATGCTGACTTATTGTCACACAGCCAAACGTAGCTGCTGTTTTATAATCTACACCATGCTGCAGCCATGTTTACTGCTACCCTCTTCTTTGTTAACACAGCTCTGTTGAGCATGCACCATTTAGACCATCTCATTTCAGGGAGGATTAAGCTATTCATATGTACGGTATATGCCATTGAAAAGCTTTTAGGACTTCTGCATCATAGTCGCATGCTATCAGATTCATCACTTATCTGTGCAAAGATACGTACTGTAGATGCATCATGATGCTGGGTCAAAGTTTACATGTTGAAATGCCAGGTGGGAACTTACAGACTTTTCCTCTGGGACTTTAAGCTCTCAGTTTGTTCAATTTAAGGACATAATCCAAAATAGTATTAGTTAAAATATATGTTTTGTTGTATTCCTATGGTCGCCCTTACTTTTTGATAAGTTGTTTTATGTACATTCGTCTTCTATCTTTTTGGTAGTAGGCACAGTCTTTGTCTCTCTGCTTCAAGAGTTCAGATTTTCACACAAATATAAACTAAAGTTAGCGCTGCTCTCTTCCTCTTAACGTCCATAGCTCATGGGATTTACTCGTCACTTCCACATAAATAGTAAATAATGTAAGGAAATGGGTCTCTCTCACTTTCACAGGTACAATATCAACAGGGACATTTAGGTTGAAGCTAATCAGCACCAGTAGAAACATTCTGCTCTTGTGCTGTACTTCCATGTTACTGACACTGAGCAAATAATAATAAAAGGACTGTTCCAGCAATGTTAATACATTTAATTAGCAATAAACAGCACTGGTATGTCACACTAAATAACAACAAAAGCATGATTAGCTAAATGCAAGACAAAAAACGCCAACATGTTTTTACTGTAATATATAGGAGTGTAATTACTCGGCACTTACTTCAGGAAGAGTTTGATTTGCTCCATATGTGAAAGATTTCCTGAGCTTGTACTCAGTATGTGATAAGAGTAAAGCAAGCCAGCTTTTCCACCCTGCTTCTGTGATTCCAGCAGTCAGTGATCACAGGGGCAACAGGGTGGGGACGTGAGAAAGATAAGGGCTGAAGCTTTGACTCATCACCTACTCACACACATGCAAAGAAAATCAGGAGCGTCTTTCTGTGTCTGTGTGTCTTCAGGGCAAACCTTCTTTGAACTGTGTAGCTAGCAGAATTATCCAGTGTGTGTGAGAGTGTGTGTGTCTTTGTATTTGTTACCTTGTAAGGCCCATTTTTCCAATACATACTACACTGTGAGGACCAGCTGCTCCTAATAGGGCCCAAAGCCCATAAGAAGATGTACCGTTGGTGGGTTAAGGGTTAGGACTAAGTTGTGAATTGAGGATGGGTTAGGTTTAGGGTTAGGTATGTACTGGTAATTAGGGGTGCACCGCTAAATTTCCTTAATTTTGGGAAATCGGAAATAGACCAAAACGATTTTGCTGATTTTTTGGGGGTTTGAACAATTGCCTGAACTTCATTTATATTTCAGAGCGCTACCTCATGGCCAGTTAAAACAAGTTTGTATTGTTTCTAGAATATTGTTCAAGGGTATGTTTTTCAACAAAATAATATTGGAAAATTGAAGGTGCATTGTGACCTTATAACACCTGACAGTGTCGCTTATAAAACAAAATCAGTATTGGCCAAAATCGGAATCGGCAGGTCAGACTTTTTAGAAATCGGTGATCGGTCAGAAAATTGAAATTGGTGCACCCCTACTGGTAATGGTTAGGTTTAGGATAAGGGTCAGGGTTAGGCTATAGAAATGAATGAAAAATGAATGGAAGTCAATGCTAAGTTCCTATAGAGATTTAAAGACAAACTTGTGTGTGTGTGTGTGTGTGTGTGTGTGCATATTCGTTCTAGCTTTGGAGCAAAGAAGAGGCATTGAAAAGAGGAACGTGGAGACTTGTTCCTTTTTTTCTGATCAGGTGTCACACTAGACACACAACGTCAGCTGCAAATCATTTAAAACATTTTTTTTATTAATCATTGGAATAAAGAAACATTTCTTATTTTTCTTTGCTGCTGAAAAAAAAAACACATAAGAACAATTAGTTTATTTTGATCAGTTATAGCACAAACTGTTATAGCAAGATCTGAACCAACTTCTGCTCTTGACTAAAAAGTTAAATATTTTAGAAAACCAAGGATTTGGTTCAAGCCACAATGGTTTCCCCATCATCAAGCAGTTAACTAGGTCTATCAGCTCAAGTTCTCACTGCTGG